TTTATCTAAGGTAAAAAATAATCCACAAAGACGGTTGAGTTATTTATTTGAGTTGAGCGAGGAAAGCATTGTAATATATTTACTCGTTCTTAAGTTGTTGTTTGTTTCAAATGAAAGAATAAAGAACTGACAGGCCAATTTGAATTTGTTTCTTGTGTTTTTCACACCCAGCAAGAAACGCTTGGGCCTCTTTACTCACGTTAACGTCGGCCATGTTAATTTCTTGGAGCAAAAGAATGTGTCCCCAAAAGAAGAGTTCACCTCCTAAAAGGATGACTTGGAATACCATGCTCTATAAACAACGGTTTCGCAAGCTAACATATTTCGTCGCAATAAGAAATAGTACCGTTTTGTCCATGACGGAGATAGGTGTTTTAAAGCATGGTTTCCATATAATCGTCCAGGTCATCTCAATCGCTCGACTCCTCTCAAAATGTGTTCAGAGGATCCAGCCAATCTTATAGGAACACCTTTAATGCGACGCAAGGCGATCCAGACGACTGCGGCGATCGCAATAGCCTAGATAGAGCTGAAGTCCAGATATATGCTGACTCTGTAGGCTGGTTACTATATAATCGTCTAGATTGTCTTGATCGACCGAGCCCCCTGAAAATGTGTTCAGGCAACGGACACGATCATCTCAAATTAACTGCCTTGATTACTGATGCAACGCGACTGGGTCGATTGCAATCACCTGGATAGAACTTGTACTGGGCTATTTTCCATATCATTGACCGGATCATCTCGATCGTCCCAATCGTCCCAAAAATTAAAGGAGATTGAGACCATCCGACGATTGCATGGAAACCAAGCTTAGGTAGAATACCCCCCCATCCCCGCCTTCCGCCCACCCGGGACGTTTCCGCTTTGCCCCATGGTGTCTTACACACACGGGCACTCCCTTTGCACATAAAACAGCCAAAGCAGAAAGGCAAGGAGCTATTTTGATGTTTTGGACGAAGAATTGAACATCAAGCAAATAATGTAAGAGAAGAACGTAAAGAATCTAAAAGTGCGGCCACATTATGCATTTTCGTTTAGTATGCCCTAAGGCTTATGCAAAGTTTCAGAAAAGGATATGGTCAAAGAAAGGCCAGGTTTTCTGCTTTTGAGTGCGTGAGTTTACGGAACTGCAAGCAAGTGCAAATATTCAAAGGTCCCGAGAACATATACAAAGTGAAGTCTTCAGTGTCACTGCAACAACTATCAGTAATCAGTAAATCAAAACCACAAGATATGACCTCATTCTTAATCCAAACTAGAACCACTACGTGGAACTCACCGGGGCCCAGTGGAACACGGGATTGCATAGTTTACCTCTCGCACCCCTCCCCCCGCCTCTGTGGAGGCTAATACTTAGTCTGAATTAACTCATGCAGAAAAAAAGTAACAAAATGCATGGGAAAGGAGGATGTTGTTATAACGGTCTGTGTTATAGTACTGTTTTTACACAGTGATGTAAATAAGTGTGATCTGTATAAGGTTTTTATTTGTTTTTAAGTTTGAGTGAAAGAGCAAAAATCACTGACAGTTTTGGGTTGAATGGTAATGACAAAGTTTGCAAAGAAGTTTGTTACAGAATTATCACAATTTTGCCTACACGGTCTGCATTACACTTCTCATAGAACAAACATGCATGTTCATGGAGAGCCTGTAGTGTTGAAGAATCCCAGTAAGTGCATGATTTGATGACAGAGAAACAAACTGCATATATGGACATAATAAAATGCTTATTTATTGATGACTGAGTATAATTTGTTAATTCACTGCACATTGAGGCATTTGAGGCATTTGATTGTAAGGCGGTGGTTGATACATAGTGGCATTTATCAATAGAGCGGTTTTCATTTGAGTGTGGAAAAGTAATTGGTTTTGCACTTTCTACACGATGCGATTGGCTTAAAAGATTCGCGCCACCTTTTCATCCAATCAGAAGTGAAACCAAAGCCAATTGTGACGCGCTCGCATGCATTTTCCCGCGCTTTGCGTCAGCCACATGTAATTACTTCGAGTTTTGATTGGTTCAATGTATTGTCTGTGTCCCTATGTGATTGGTCAGAGTAATTACTTTGGTTTTGGTTTTACGACACTCAAACGAAAACCACTCTATGACCTATAGTAATTGTAGAGGAAGTATTTCTTTCCTGAACTGGGTAAACAGTAGTAAGTGGTGCAAACTGGCCTTGATTAGATTCTACTATTTGTATAGTAACATTGAATGCATCTGCAACTGCTTGAATGATAAGTGCATCAGCCCATGTACCTTGAATACACATATTATTCAGATATCTTAGCCATGAATTTTCGGTATTGCTTCCAATAAATCTCTCTCGGTTGTCTCTCATAAATTGAACCCCTGCAGTACGTACATGCATTCGATGGTTGCTATTGCCATATAATTGATGTGATACAGATCTAAAGAAACAATCACCTGCACTGTCAACATCTATTGATTGTAAACCAAGTTCACCTAATCTTGACTGCATCAAATTCTCAGAGGAAATCGGAGAGATCAACTGCATTGTTGAGCTGTGATTTTGCATAAAAGGTCTAATTATTACTTCATGATGATCAGTGTTGTATTGAGTAGGTCCTGGCATTCTTCTCAACATCTTTACTTAGTTTGAAATCAGATAATGGGTCATATGACTCACACAATTGCAAGAAAACAATGATAAATATCGACGTGCTTTACATTTTTTCATTATCCTCTGATAATGTCTGCTAAAGAAAGACAACAAATAAGCTTTCTTGGGTATAGCCATTTTATTGAAGTTAATTATCTTTGGATCGCATTTGTTATTACATTTATATCGTGCATGACTGAAAGTTTTCTTACCTTATTAACATAGCGATGGAGCTTTGAAGACCTCGGTACGTCAATCGTTGAAATCATTTTAAAGACAAACACTGAGACAAATTTCTTCAACATGCTAATCTTCTTGTTGAGACCTCTAAGAAATAGCAGTGGAATTCTGCTCGGTTCACGAGCACGTCTACATCGCCTTGTAGCACGTTTTTTTAAGATGATATAAAGTTAGCTTTGATAAGTGTTCGCTTTGATTCTCGATAAATTTCATGATGGAAGGTTCACTCAATGTAGATAGCTTTGATAAGTGATTAACTCTTAAGTGATCGCTCGTAAATTTGTCTCTCCAAACATTCACTCTTAAACTTTCACTCATAAACTAGTGCATCGTAAAGGTTGGGGAAAAAGCCATAATCTTTCTCTTGACTGTCCTCCATGCCTCGTGCTTTTCAAAATAGCGGATAAGATTTCAGTGAGCCAGCGATATATCTCAGTCAGCGATATATCCCTAACAATGTAACGTTGAAAAAAAGACAGAAACCGTCCGCATTTTAAGACCGGTGCCAGCCTCCGGCTGGGCCCCGGTAATAATCATGAGCTATTAACGGAACAGCTTAAGACTCACACCAGAGACAATAACATTACTCGCATACCAACAACATAATCAAGATAGCCAATATTGTTATTTGTATTGAAGACTGTCTGTAGTGACTTAACAATTTAGGTCGTACAGATTGCATTCGAGTTTGTTACACATCAAGTAACCTAGTTGGCCTTTGCAGACTGGCATTTTCTTTTATTTGAAGACACTATTCAACAACTTTTTCAACGTAGATTTCCCGCTTTCGAAAGGAAAAAAACTATTTGATTTAGGTTCACACTCTAATGAGCAAAAGGTACCGGAAGACATGCTGAGATGCTAAATGACATGCTTAAGTATGAAACAGTCTTCGAAAATCGACCGCAACTGTGATTAGAGGTTTCTTGCGGTCATCGCACCAACAAAACAAGAAAAAACAACACAAAACAGATACACGTACTTCGAAACTTCAGCTCAATGCAACATGGAACGTCACGGTTTAGAACGTCAAACAGCCAAAAAGCGTCTCGCAACACAGGCTAGTATTTGAAATTGTGCAAAAGTTGCTCGGAACGAAGAGACAAACATCAAGTTGGTTTTCTCAAAAGTATGAAACATACACTAATAAGAGAGCTTATGCGTTGCAATTTTACCGCTGAAAGCACGCGGACGCACCACCTTGACCTCAAGAGGACAGAAACATACACCGTATTCATAAATGGCGGCCGCTCGCAACGGCGTGGTTTCGAGACCATCATCAGAACGAGGCTTAGTAGTCGGCGGAGGTAGGTGTGAACCCAGCTTGAAGCTATCAAATCATTGGATTCAAGGAGTTTGTCTTCAAAAAGAGGTAAGAAGTAACCTTAAAGGACACAACGAACGCGTTAGTACTATTGTTTGAAACTTTTTAAAAGGCTCTTTATGACTCCCTTGAACGTAAACTTGAGAGCCACAATGCTTATGTCGTCCCACAGTACAACTGTTGTGTGGCCTAGTACTGTTACGAACAATTTCTAGTGAACATTTACTAAAGCCAAACACTATATACCATAAAACTGGAAGAAAGTTGGTACTATGTAATTTTATCTTCATATCAGACTTAACTAGAACCATTGCCAGCCACATGCAAATCCATAAGTGATCGGCAGCTTACCGGCGATGCATCAAACGGGTTTTCCACTCAAGGAGAAATATCCTGTTTCTATTTTTATGAAGTTCAGTCCATAGTACGTCCTTAAGGAGAATGCTTTTGTGTCGCAAGTGTATTACAGTACACAAATTTCGATGAAACTTTCCATCTAACTCGCAACGTAAATTCGCATTTTGAACTATTAAAATGAACCGGCAATAAAGGTTTACCGCAAGTTTGGTTACTCAAATCTTGACACCACTCAGATAATACTAACTTATTTCACTAGACAATTAACAAAATAGAGACCACAGCACAGGTAACATTCCTGTTGGTAGTGAGACGTATAAACAGATCAATGTTAAGATCAAATATTTAATTTTTAAGCATGGCAAATAAACAATGCGCATTCTTGAGTCCCTTTAGAGGCTCGCGTAAAGTACAATACTTTAATGAAAGAGCCAAGTGCCTACATTTGTAAGGATCTATCTAACACTTGTAGAACGTAAACTCAACCCTATGTTAATAACAAAGTCGTACTTTTTAAGTTTGAAGTTGTCAGTTTAAGTACTTTCGGAAACAAAGTTCCCACGAGTAACGCAACTTATTAAGGCGCGTGTCACCAAAGGGAAATCAAAACATCGTTCTTACTAGTGAAAAATAAATAATTAGAAAGAATTCTTGAGAAAATATCGGCCCCAACAGTCGAAACAATCATCCTGCATATAAAAAGGCAAACAAGCTGACAAGATATGATTGTAATGTCGATATGTTTTGTTTATGGAACGGAAATGAATTTATATGTAAATAAACGCAGCTGTGTAAATATGTCTTCTTATCGAACAGCTAATCGGATATTAACGTAAACATGTCTTCTTATCGGACAGCTAATCGGATATAAAATATGATAGCTCATATAAGTTTCGTCTGGAATTTGTAATTAATGTGATAATGTCATTTAAACACTGAAAACAGCCTATTAATTGCCTCTCTCAAACAAAGTAACACCCACTCAAAGTCAACACATTTCAAATTAATAGGTTACTAATTAAAGTCGCCTTTTGGCATTTCAAAAACCAACAATTCAAGCGTTAAACCTACTGTTTTGACAAAAGATTTAATCACTATTATCCTTAGGGTGTTTCCTTTTAAATACAAAAACAAGTAATTGGCCATATCGTGCTAACCATGAACCATGAAGAACACTTCCAAGGCTGTGCTCTAAGAAAAATTGAAGGGAGCCCAGTGCTCTGAACTTGTGAAATCCATTGTGCCCAGCATATGATTTCTATGAAAAAGCAAAGATTTTCCAGTCGCCCGAGAACAAAAGTTAGGGGCCACGGGCCACCGGGCTCTGCTAGAGCACAGCCTTGACTACGCAAAACAGAACACTACTGTTTGTAATAGAGAACACTACTAGGGTATCTAAAAGATAGTAATGCTGCGGCACATTCTGTTGATACTGGCATTAGTTAGGTAGTGAGACTTAAAAGAATCGAAAATGACATTGAATGTTCTATTTACATGTTGGAAAGTACTAGAATAATTACTATCAGTCTATAGAAAGAACTCGTGGGAACATTGTTTAGAAAATGATCAAGTGGTTATCAACTCTGGTTTTCCCACAGTAAATTGTAGGAAATAATAGAAATTCAGATTGTTTATCCACATATTTAATATGCGGTGCACGATATTTTCTCTGGAANGTCGCCTTTTGGCATTTCAAAAACCAACAATTCAAGCGTTAAACCTACTGTTTTGACAAAAGATTTAATCACTATTATCCTTAGGGTGTTTCCTTTTAAATACAAAAACAAGTAATTGGCCATATCGTGCTAACCATGAACCATGAAGAACACTTCCAAGGCTGTGCTCTAAGAAAAATTGAAGGGAGCCCAGTGCTCTGAACTTGTGAAATCCATTGTGCCCAGCATATGATTTCTATGAAAAAGCAAAGATTTTCCAGTCGCCCGAGAACAAAAGTTAGGGGCCACGGGCCACCGGGCTCTGCTAGAGCACAGCCTTGACTACGCAAAACAGAACACTACTGTTTGTAATAGAGAACACTACTAGGGTATCTAAAAGATAGTAATGCTGCGGCACATTCTGTTGATACTGGCATTAGTTAGGTAGTGAGACTTAAAAGAATCGAAAATGACATTGAATGTTCTATTTACATGTTGGAAAGTACTAGAATAATTACTATCAGTCTATAGAAAGAACTCGTGGGAACATTGTTTAGAAAATGATCAAGTGGTTATCAACTCTGGTTTTCCCACAGTAAATTGTAGGAAATAATAGAAATTCAGATTGTTTATCCACATATTTAATATGCGGTGCACGATATTTTCTCTGGAAACACAATACTTTTCTTGCTGTTTGTTGCACTTTATTAAGTAACAGTTATTTAGCTATATATTTACAGAAAACAACAACAAAAAAAACGGAAAAAAAAAGAAAGGATGAATAAATAATTCGGAAGGGCTCGAACCCTGCACCTCCGGCTCCACGCGACTACACCTAACCACTACACCACAGAGGCTGACTCCGTAATCGTTAGGAAAAGTCTTTCATCTTATTCCTTTTCCATGAAACTTCCGCCGGCAAGATGATCGCCAGCCGCATTAACCGAGCTATTAACAGTGAAAAAACAATGTAAACGCATATTCCATGGCAATTAATGAATGAAAGAACAGAATTATGCTTTTCAAAACGCCGATACACGTTCTCGTCTGCAAAGTAGGACACAAAACATATGTTTTGTTATCTCGATTTCCGCTGTTATTTTGAAGCGAATTGTCAAAATCACATCCATTTTCGGCTCATACAGTTTCTTAAGAATAGCATTGCAAGACATTTTCTCACTTTCACATCACCTTCTAGCAAGCTGGAATTTGTATATCCCCCGTGTTGCGGAGTCGAAGAGCAAATGCTCATCTTCTCGTCAGGTTTAACACCTGGACGGGTCAAAGGCTCTTGAATTGAAATTAACCATCGTACTCATCTGAAAGACTCCTGGGTGTCTCAAAATTTGGTAAGACCTCTAACCGTGCTGTAGAAAATTTGCCACAAAGAAAACTCTAAGTCTGAGCATTGAACGATGCACTCTCTCACCCACCGAACTTCCCCGTGTTTTTATTTGAGTTGTTCGTGGCGCAATGCACTCTGGTTAAATGCAATGCACTGTGGTTTTTTCACACCAATTTACGTTACGTAACACCATTTTTCACTACTTAAGCTCTTAAGCAGCGGGGAATATATAAAGGAAATTTAGGACTAATACAACGACGAGCGAGGGAAGCCAGCGAGGCGTCCAATAATGGGTCTTGCACACTAAGAGGAATAGCGTATGAAAGAAACAATGCCTTTTTTCCTTTTCAGTGCGTATGGCGGAACCAAAGCAGGTAGGACCTTCAATTTTGGTGTTTCAGTTCTGTGTTTAATATTGCGTTACTTCTTTTCCGCTGGGTTCATAATAACGAGAGAAAACTGATGTTCTCGAGGCATTTTTTGCCAACTATATCTGAGGTTGCCTTGCAGAGTGTCACCTTGTGTCTATAATTAAAAGTTTCATGAGACATGTTACTGGCTACAAAAATCTAGCACCTATTTCTTAACCAGTTAGGAATGAAGGCAACATTAAACGCTTGACGTTCGCACAATGGTTTTCTGGCGCTTTCCGTCGGTTACAAGTATTTGCTTCCCTTTGCCGTTGACTTTAAATCAAGCAACAACAGGCTATGACTACTAGCTAGAAAACCTTCTTGTACAAAAGACAAACACTAAGGTCTAGTTTTGATTAATAATATTAAATCAGTGTAGACAAATATATTTATCGTCCTGAACAAGATATACATAACAAAGTTTCGGCTAAATTTTAGCAAATATCTTCCTTTATCGCACATTCCAAGACAATCGTAATAATAATGTAGAATTTGTATTTTAACTTTTGAGGAAGGCGACGGTGAAAGCCCCTCTGAAGAAGACGACAATAATCAGAGGTAAGAAAGAAAAGGAAAGGGGAAAAAAGCACCGATAAATTCACTACTATCGTGGATTTTTTCCTTAAGTATTAAAGAAAGTTTAATATATCTTTCGCTAAAAGTAACTCAGGACACTCAAAAGCTTTCCAGACCTCGACTGCTAACAATATCTTAGTTCCTTGTTTCAGAAGATGTAGTTAGGGCATTTCATTCGAAGAAAAACAACCTCTTATTTATCTGTGAAGTTTACCTGCAGCATACAGTTAAAGAGGGTGCACAATGCTCACATATGCTCCCTTCCCATAAGAAGTATACTGGCAGTGAACAGTTCCTAGGACTTTGTTCAAGGTAGCTTTCTTTCTAATCTGACGCTCACTTGAAAACAAAATTGCAGGATTTTGTTTGTGTGAAGATTACTTAGGTGCCACCCCAGGTAGCCTAGAGCTAATTAACAAATATTTAAGCACCGTAGAAGCGACACGTGAATTTAGTATTTCTTTCAACATAATGAACAGTGTAAACTTTTGTTACCTGTATTTTGTTGCCATTAAGGGGTACCAATCAACATGCGGATGGCCAACAAGGTGCTGAACAGGAGCCAGGAGGTGAAGAGTATGGATACTCCCTTGAAAGCGACTCAGGCTCTCACCAGGTAAGCTGTTCCATCCACTTTGCACATAAATCCTGGTGCAATCTCAGTAGCGTCTGCAAAAAGCCAAAAATAAAAAAAAAGTGAACCGAGTAACCTTCTGACTTACTCTCTTGGGAGGCTATGCATCTTCGTATACAAGGGGGGCAGAGATTGGTGGAGGTTGGGGAGGGGGTAAAGTAAAAGCAAAACTAACATCTATCATTACTCCGCAGAGCCAAACAGCAGGAAGGGACGACGAGGAAGAACAGGAGGAGGTTCCAGTAGCCACACAAAGTACGGACCACCAATGTGGTCGACGTGGACCAATCTGGTAAGGCAAAAATCACTTTGACATAGAAAAAGAGAACCTGCTGACTACCTATCACTGTGAAGAATCATTCAATAACAGGCGATTTGCACCTATCCTCTTATATCAAGTGCGAGTATTGAAATGCACTTTAGGTGAGGAAAAAATGATATGTTGATCCTTGTTGCCATATAACATATTTCCTTTACATGTCTTTCTTTAGTGGTATAGCTTCTCAGCTACCCTTTCTCCTTACTACAACTGCAAATCAGGTAGGTGTACAACAGTAGCAATAAATAACTGCAGACAGTATAGCACCTATGTTAATACTAAAATACCTTCCTTTGTGACAGCAAATAAGTTTGCAGAAAGTAAGAAAAATGAACTGCTTTTTTACTCGAGAAAAGCAGCAAAAAGTAAATCAATAAAGTCGATTACAGTAAAATCCCACCCATAGGAACCTGTAGGCTGCAACTATCAGCATTTAACCCTTTCTATATAAGAACCTGTTAAACTTAAAGGGAAATCAGGTTTCTTGTCCATAAGGTACAGATTTACACCAGCATCAACTGACATCAGAAGCAACCCCCTCTTAGACTTCAGATAATTAACTCAACTTAACGGTCACTTCTGAAGATGAATACACACACTACTCCCAATTTTGCATGAATGTTGTAAGAAAGGAAAGAAAGACTTGAGTAGCATTTTGTGTAGTTTCATTTATTAACCAGATATACATGATCTCACATATTCTCTACCTTTTTAGGCGGGCCAAGGGGCTTTAAGTAGCGAAGAAAACAGACAGCTGCGCCGGTAAGAAAGACGACATGTTTCAGCCATTCCTGAATATTTACCTTATATCATGTCTTATACACCCAGTTTGAAAAACTACACATCCCATCTAACAAAATATTATAAAAACACGACTTTTTCATCTTTTTATGTAAACCTCGACTTCCATTTTTTCCTGTTAACATCTGATGCATGTCTCGCAGCTAAGGAGCCGACTTCAAATAACAATTAAAGGCACAGTATGATAAAAATTGCCATGGCTTACAATAGCTTATTTCACACTAATTAAGCCTACGCATGTAGATATGCATTCCTAAACTAACTGATGTATTTTTTTGTATTAGGGTTCAAAGAAATGACGAAGACCAACGTGAACTGCTACAAAATCAACAAAACGCACATGAGAATCGAAATGTACGTAAAAATATATACACAGTCATCACTTGGGTAGTCTCCACGGCTGTGTCTGGGTCGTCACGTAACACGTCGCGTGATGACAAAAATAATAACGGTCACGGAGGAGACAAGTAGAGATACGGCTCAATACTTATATTTATGCCCACAAGCTAAAAAATATAGTCATCTTGCAAGGCATAATAAACATAGGGGAAAAACTCTAAGATAGACAAGCCTAGAGAGCAGCGCACAGATACTCAAATGCTCCCTCATAACAGACCATAAACCTTCAGTTCTCAACATTTGGTTGTTTCACTTGATCTGGTACTTAAAAAAAGTAAACAAGAGGATAACTGAGATCTGATGGGTTCTTGATTGTTTTCTTGATTGGTTCTTGATTGTTTTTTTTTTAAATCACCGCGAATTTAACAATGTCATTTTTTATTTCTATTAGCTTTTTCAAATGCCCGGGTGGACTGAAACTGGAAGAAGAGTGCAGCAGTGCACTGAACAACACCCTCCTGGGTATGGCATAGAACAACAAATACGTTATACAGGTTCTCCCATCAAAATACAAGACCTTATTACTAACAGAACTCCCATGGACTCTAAGATTATCGCTTTTGTACAGCCTTAAACCCTAATAAGGCTTTGGCAACACCCGAGGGATCTCTGCCAGTTTTTTTCGCATTATTCAAGTGCCTGTAACGTAAAAATTTTGATTACGCTAACTGAAACAACACATTACTACAAGAAGAAAATGAGATTTTTAGAATTTTTTGAAGTTTAAATTTCTTTGACACACCCTTTCCGCTAATCACGAAATTGATAGGCTCATATCTGACGTCATCAAACATAGATTCAGTAACTAAAAAACGGGATTTTATGCAACTGTTTTGTTTGTATATTTTCGTATGTGCTTCTGAAAGGCATGACAACAGAACGCTTTCTCCTTTTTTCTCTTTACTGCATTCTCATTTTCAAAAGTATAGTAGTACTTTGCTTTGGCCTCGAATAGCCCGGCCTTACAATGAGTAAGACAAAAAGTAAAAGAGAGAACTGAAAAGTAAAACAACATTTTCTTTGCTCTTCTCTTTTAGGGGTGTTTTCTGTGATTTAGGAACTGGAGACCCACAGGTAGGTAGTTTGAATTCTATTGCAACTTTTGAATGTAAAACATTGACAATATTCGCATTGAAATGTACTAGCCATGGAGGGGGGGCGGGGGGTATGTACGGTGGGCATTAATTTTGAAAAATTAGCATAACGTGAAAACAGTAAATGTTGTGACGCGGATTTTTGGCTGGTTTGCAGGCTAGGTTTGTCTTGAAATTTCAAGGCGATGCAGTGAATCAATCTTAATGAAACTATCAGATATTATAATTATATACATGGTGAAGATTTTGTTAAAAAGAATTCTGTTGAGCCGTCCTAGAGATATACAGAAAAGCGCTAAAAGTCAAAATTTAGGATAAAGTTGCGCTTACACAGGTGGTGACAAAACAGGTTAGTTTTTAGGATCGCAAGGAAGAAAATACACCAAAATTTTCTAGCACCGAAATATGATATTAAGCAGCATTCTGACGCTACTTAAGATTAATTTGAGTTTTTTGAACTTTTTTATTAAACAATTTATCACGGCTATTGAAAATATAATGTTTGAAATACATTTACGTTTTATTTGAATTCAAATATACTGAATTTTTTACTTCTCACGGGGGTTATTTTCTAAACACCACACCTTAAGTTCCTGTTGACGACTTTTTAGTATCAAGTCTAGATCGCGCAAAATTCGGCTTTTATTGATTTCGAAGATTTTTGTTTGTTGTTATCATAGTGATATCGATTTTACTAAAAACTGCATTTTGGCAAACTTCAATTCCTAGTCAATCACTGATGAAAATTTTGAAGCGATCGGACAAGGATAAAATCACTTTAAAGGCGATTGAAAAACATCGGTATGGCGTCCGAAAAACTGTATCGAAACACCTGTTTTCCGGAGGAGGCTAAATATATATTATCATACAAATCTTTAATTTCTTACTTTAGTTCGTCACATGTCAAGATCGCCGTTTGTCCCGGAGACGATGAACTTAACTCACTAAGTTTGGTTCGTCTCATGAAAAGTTCTACGTTTGGCCTAGGCGTAAATCTACTCGAAGTTAGGGTTGAAAATCAATTTCTGTATAAAGAAACAAAAAATTCCTTTTCTGGATTCAGGCAGGAATCAAGTTTAGGATTTTTCCAAAGAAACGCACCTATCGTTAGGATTGGTCCAGGATAAAGATGCTTTTTTATAGTTTACCTTAAGTTAACGGCATTCTGTAAATTAAATTCACTTTCTTACAAGCCGCTTTTATTTTATATTTTTCACAGGAACATGAATGTGTCTGCGATACATGCCATCGTACATAAAAAAAAGACTCATTAAGTTTAGAGTTTTCTTGTTACTTTGTAAAGTTAAAAGTTTAAATGTCATAGATACTAAAAAAAGAAAAAAAATGGCAATGGAGACCATTACATGGCTCTTTATCAGGTTCATTTTTTCTATTTATTTTTCTATTTAATTTTATTTATTTGTTGAAATTTATTTCTTCAAGCGAAATTGCCGCTGAAAGAAGTATCGTGAAAAATAAAGTACGCTAATAGTTTCGCATTTTTCAGCTCTCCATTGAGCTGGTATTTTCGCTGCTAAATCAAAGGAATTTGAAGCTTTTTCTCACTCGTTGAATTGGTAAAACTATGATCCAAAACTTACGTTTTGTATTGACCAAAGTGGCTCTGTCAGGTTCATTGTTGAAAACGTATAAAAAGAATAAAATGTTATCGTGTATTAAATCATTAAAGCCGCAGTCAAGTTATTGTAATTTCTTGTCTATCTGATGATTTATTGATTGATTGGTAATACTGAATAAACTTGTTGAATAACGATTGATTTACCACGCTTAAATAAGCAAGAAGTTGGTTGAAGTCCCCCACTCCATGAACAATCGCGAAAAGCTTGAAACGTATTTCCCCATCCTCAAAGGAAGCTTGGCGGACAGAGTATAGGGAAGAGGGGCGCGGTGGCACCCAGCAAAGTTTTATACGGGGAGGCTCCGCCCCGAGGCCCAACCCATTACCCTTTTACACAACATTTTCGATAGAAAAGGCAGCCCTTTCACATACCTATAAAAGAACACGGCATCCCTTTTAACTGCTGTAACTGGCCTGTCTTTTTAATATGAGTAAATCAGTAAAACAGGACGTTTTCTTGTCATTTCGACAGTCATAAGATGCTCATTTTCGAAATACATTAATTAAAAGCATTTTTAAAAACCTAAACGACAAATTTCCCTAACCTTTCATATACTTCAACTCGTGAGATCCCTACCCTTGCTTTTTAAGAGTGTGTGCCCACGATTTTGACCGTGTTTAGCCCCCCGGGGGGCGGGGGGTATTCCTTATAACGTCTTTTACGGAGAGGCTTTGCAGCGCGAAAGGAGTTCCTGTTTCAGGGTTCAGATTTCACTGCTTCTGATTGGTGAGAAAGTAACAGTCAACTCCCGTTATTGCGGACACCCTGATAACACGAACAGCAGCCAGATCCCAGGCAAAAATTAATTACAGACGTTTGGGTGAAATAGACTCCCGCTTTTACGGGCTTTCGCTATTGAGTTTTTCTTTGAACAGCCGAAAACATATAAGTTTTAATCTTGAGAAGCCCAAGTCATCAAGTACTGTTGAGGGTTGATCGGTGACACACTCAGATGTACTAAAAATCTACTAAGTACTTGACTGGCCTTTGTTATTAGCGTGCCGAGATTATCTAAGTCCACTTACTAAATCTCAATGACAAAGTGACTATCATGTGACAAACGAGCACTATCGTAGGCTTTGAATGGGCTATCGCCACCTTAATTATTATCTGATTTCCGACACTCCAAGGAAATACATAACTACAACACTCGCCCACGCGTCTACGAACTCGTCTAAGCGTATCCGTTTTTATTTGAAAGCGAACATTTCTGTCCATTTCAAAAAAAAATATATCGTCCACACAAGGCGTTTTCAAAACGGTTTCTTCCGTCCAGGCGTATCCATGAACATGTTTTAACGCGACTCGCCTTGAATCGTTCTAAATTTTCCCTTCACCACTAGGAAATCACTGTTTGATCGCAAAGTTGTCCCACCAAAGCACTTTACGTCCTGATCTAACCCAGAATCTCAGAGGTCTTGGTTGCTACTCTGTTTAGTTAATTTGAAGTCGTCTTTTGACAGCCTGAACAATTATCCTAAAAGAAAACTGAGTAACTTAACCCTTTAAGCCCCAGTATCCACATACAAATTCTCCAAACTGATCTCCATACATTTCCTTCAAAAATTAGTTGACAGAATTTGATACTAACAGATCAAAGATTTTTTCCCTTTGAGATCAGTTTATTAATTCTCATGGACTATGCTCTTGACAATCTATGGATTTTGTTAGGAGAAAATTGATGTTGGTCACTATTGGGACTTAAAGGGTTAAGTCAAGACAACCTGACCGATAAAGTCAGGTGATCGCTTTCAAATTCGTGTGGCCGGAAGGCCGATCAAAAGAAACAGATACGAGTGGACGGGACTAAGTCTTCCTTTTCCGGAACAACTTAAGATCCAGGCAGCTTTTTGATTAGATGGGGCCGGCCGGCAACTGTTTTACATCTTGCTAAATGAACCTCAACGCGTAAGCTCAAACGTCACCCTAGATAAATGTAATATTCAAAAAAAATGCTGAATTCAAACATTTCTGCTGTCACGAAACTCTTCGCAACTTGAAACCCCTGATTTCATCCGTCCTTGCTCGCATGAAGCTCTGGTGTTTCAGGACTAGGGTCCAATGTTTCTGTGGTTTATTGTTTTCTCACACAATCCAGTTCAACGCTGTTCCAAAAGATGCCATTTCTTAAACAATTAGAACCGAGTGTAAGACTATGAGTGAAAGTGTGTAAGTGTTGTTCCATGCGTATATATGTTTTGTTTCGTTTCAGTTTAACTCACTCAATAGATTCTGAATGCCAGGGTCGCCAATGCATGCTTATTTTCACACTGTAATAGTATGTGAATCAAACGAGAAAACATAGACGTTCTCCAAAATAAGACATCTATTTATCAGTTTGTTGCAAAATTTGCAGACTAAGGCCTGTGAGGTTCCAGAAGGTATCGAAAAATCAGCGTACAAATGTAGAATTTATTGTTCTGAAGTCACGCTTGAGTATCATATGCCCATAAATTTACAGGGAAGATATCGTCACCAACTGATATTAATGTGCCAATCACAGGATCGTTGGCTCTGAATCAAGAGGTTTCTTTGTTTCAGTGTTTGGCGTATTTAAATAACAAAAAGTTTGTTTGTAAACAAATACCTTCCCTGTTCTATTCTTAGAAATATTGCCAATGTCCACACAGACACTTCATTGAAAACACTGTGATTTTAAACACACACGCAACGGCTCGAAGTCAAACAAATGAGCAATCAACTCTGAAAAGGAACCAAAACCACTTCACTGAGTTACTGAAGGGTTGACGTGACTGTCAACTTGTCAAATAAATTCACCTCTATATAATCATCATCAGAAAACGAACCTCAGGTCTTTAATCTTTACACTACACTAATTGGGTGCAAGATGGTACACTGTATTAATCACAACCTTAAAATTACGCTGTGCGAAGCAATGTCTCAAAAGAGTTTTTTATTCCTTATTTTAGTATATGTTCTCATCTACGAGACATAAGAGGGACAAATCCCTTATTTTATAGGCCCCATTATTCTAATGAAAAAGGTAAAACTCCCTTCAGAGCGAGACATAATTTTGTGGCTACGTAAGTAATTTCTATGTCTACGAAGCAACAGAACAAAACCGGGCAACGTGATACAAAATGACAAATAGTCGGAGTCAGGTTGGAAATTTCTTTTTTACAGCATCTAAATGAAATGTTGATATTGGCACTAGAAACACAACAAGATAAACTAAGTTACCTGCATATGAAATTATGACAAAGTTGCCCAAAATTATCAATCTAGAACTACGGTTCATATTAATACGAAATTTAAGGCGCTTAAGCAATGAGAAGGAGGAAAAATAAAAACACAGGCCACTATATGGATTGTATGCAGAATT